TGTAAATATTGATTTCATAATACGTCATAGTATTATAATGTGATTCTTACACTTCATCTGGAAAATGAAAACTTGTCACTTGTCGGGACCTGTATTCCAACATGCTAAATGAATAGTTTTTTTATTGGGATAAATTTGTTTAAGTTTCATTTGATATAATTCAGATGTATATTATACCTTTAAGGATGATGATACTTTCCCTATCACTTTCCATTCCTAAATGATAAATAGTAAAGCAAACAAATAAACTAACAACTAGAAGAGAATCTATTTAAAATTGTTCTTTTTTCCTCCCCCCCCCCCTCCTCCCCCATTCTTTTAATCTCTTAAAAGTTTTAGGAAAGTATACCCGCTGAGATCTTCTAAAACATTCAGATCAAATAAAGTAATTGTATTATTGATTGATTGATTGGATTCATTATAAGAAATTTAAATTATTACATATTTATTGAACTGTATAATAAGACAAAATTTCATGGATTATCATTATCTTATCATTTCTTCTCTACTTTCATTTCACTCTTTGTATATCTCGTTAAGCTTTTACTCAACATAGCATTTGATAACAAGGGATGAGAATTTGATGATAGCATCATATTTATCTATTTAATAATTGAAAAGGCTCGGTCAAATTTCAATACATATTCTACTAATATTACTATATATATATTATATGTATAAAGTGTAATTTATATAAATAAAATATTTGAAATTAGCTTAACTATTTCAATTTGCTATTCTTTTAGTTTGATTCTATTATAAAAGATCACTTTAGTAGTATTCTTATCCATCTATCTATTAATAATATTGTCAACAATAGAGTTTGAAGGAATTTATATGAAGATTTGAATTTGTTGAAAATACTTGGAAAACCTAATTAACAACTAATAACATGAACATAATTAATTGCTTAATTCTTTTGTTTAATTTAAGATACGGTATTATCATTATCGAAATGATAGTAATAATAATAATAAAATATATCATCGTTTTTCGATATAAGCTATAATATACTCTATTATACGATTAAGTGAAAAATTTCGTTATAGAACACCTATCGATATATGTTGTCTACTTAATCGATACTATCTTAGAGAAATATTGTGGTAGATCTCGGGAGATCTTAATAGGAGATAGTTCAAAAATAACTGGAAGAATATTTTTTTTTTTAGGAATTATAAGATTAAATGTAATTTGTTTATATGTATGTGTATGTATGGTATATTATTATAGTTATCAACTTTTCAAAATAGTTATGTGTTTTTTTTTGATTGAAATATTTGAATGAGGTCAATTTCTCTTCTATCCCGGAATCTCCCGCTCCCTCGATCATCTCCAATAAATTTCCATTTCATTTACTTTAAAATAATTAAATGAATGAAAGTACGAGGAATAATCAATTAATACCTTTTTCTTTTAAAGATTAAAGGTAAAACTGTCAACAATAATTTTTGAAATTTTATTCAAAATAAACTAACATTTGTTTATTTACTACAATAATTAATGTTGAAACAACAACAAAAGGGATTACAGTATTAATTAATTAATTTATTTATTTATTTTCAATATTTTGTTATTCGATAAAATTTTATGCAATTATTTTATTAGCTTTTAGCAATTTTTTTTTCTTTATTACTTATTCCATTTAATTATGCTAAAAAATTTTGAAACAAAAGAAAAAGTTTAAATGAAACTTTTCATTTCATTTTATGTTATCCTAATTCTATTCTTTTTTTTGTTATTTGTTATTTATTGTTTATCAATTTATTGCATATTTTATGAATTTATCATTTCTCTTAAAATTATTTAATTTCATTCATTTATGTAATTTCGTTTTTTTTTTTGACTAAACATAAATTAGTTAATTAATTATCTTACCTGTGAATTCATTTATTACTTAAATTAATTAATTAATTATCTTACCTGTGAATTCATTTATTACTTAAATTAATTAATTAATTATCTTACCTGTGAATTCATTTATTCTTTAAATAAATGAAATTATTAAATTATAATAAAATTATGAGTAAATAAAATTTGAATAAGTTAGTATAAGTAAAAATTGAACTAAAAACTAAAAAAAGAAATTAGGAAAAATCTCCCCAACATTATATAATTGATTGTCATTATAAATTTAGTTATTTTTAGAATTTAACTTTTTTGTTTTTAAGCTATCTATTATTTATCATTTTCAATTGATTGTTATCAATTTTAGTTTTTTAAATTGAAAGCAGTAAACTTCATATATATTTGTATACTATAGAGTAGTACTACTATACTATTGAGTAGTACTAGTATACTAGAGTATACTGACTTATATACTATAGAGTATACTAACTTGTGTACTATAGAGTGTACTAATCTTGTATAAGTATACTAACTTGTATACTATAGAGTAGTACTAACTTGTATACTATAGAGTATACTGACTTGTATACTATAGAGTAGTACTAACTTGTATACTATAGAGTATACTGACTTGTATACTATAGAGTAGTACTAACTTGTAAAACTCTACGTGTGTGTAAACTGAAAGTGAATTTTGAAATAATATCAAATTTTAAGAATGGTCATTGTGAATTAAAAACCTGAATTAAATTTTTCGATGTCTCTTTACCTTATCTTATCTCATTGAAGTACCATTGTAAATTTGGTTAGTATTATTTATCTATTTATTTTCTCACAACATCATTATAATCTTAATTCTTTCTCATTGACGGGGTTAAGTTTGAATTCTTTCCATCAATAGAGGTCAAGGTATATATCTATTATTGCAATTATATTAGAGATGCCATTTTAAGTGATCTGCGCATCATAATGATTAAAATTATCCTCAAAAGAGATTTCAAGATATATTGCCGCTTATATATTATGACAATGTCAAAAGTCATAAGTTTCTTTTAAGATGAATTCTTTTCTTCTTCTCAATGTTATACAATATAATAATGATTGTTTTCATATCATAAAATTTTTCATTTTGAACTCCGTAAAATAATTAATTAGTGTGAAGTTGAAATTTCCTATGGAATTTAATGAAATTATCATTTATCATGGGAATTATCATTTCTTTGTATTATCAAATCAATTATTACACGTTACGTCAGATAGCTAATAACAAGCTTTATATATCACGTCACGTCAGATAGCTAATAGCAAGCTTTACATATCACGTCACGTTAGATAGCTAATAATAAAGCTTTTTACACATCATATCACGTCACATCATGTTAAGTTGTAAATTGAAGAATATTAAGATTTGATGAAAACTGCTGGGATAATCCTCGAAATCTCTCAGAATGATTTTTCCTCTCTCTTTCTCTTTATTGCTTCAATTATTGATGGGGCAAAAAGCGGTACTTAGGTCATTTAGCTCTTTTCCCTTTCATTCCTCACCGTAAATCATTACATACTTAAATTGAGAGTTCTGAGGTTAATGGTCCATTCTGTTAATTAATCCATCTATGGTTTATTGAAGTATAATTCCGTCGGTTTTAAGAACTTTCGCATCTATTGAAATGTATAATTTTATACTAAAATTATATAATAAGTGAATTTTTTTTGATTACAGAAATTATCCAATATAACAAATTTCATTTCATTAATTAAAATTTTTTGATGAAATTCAAAAATTTGTGTAATTCTATCAGATAACATTTTTTTTTAAAGCATATTTATTGCGTGGTATCGTATTTGAAATGTGTCGTTGTTTTTTAAAAAAATTTAATAATGAAAAATTTTAGTAGTAAATTATGTTGGAGGGTCGTAACGAAACTTCTCCTACCAATTCGGATACTATTATTCGTCCTGATGATTGCGTGAATTCGGAGAATAACAACAATCATAGTATTGATAATTCTGTTGCTGATTGCAAAAATGGTTTATCATCGACAAAAATTTCTAATCCTTCTACATCATGTCCTACAACGATCATCGTCGATGAGAAAAAGGAAGTGGACAGTGCGAATAATATGTTAAATTTGAATAACATTGGTGAATACTCGGTAGAAATGCTAGCGCGATTGACATCTTCAACAATGACCATCCTTGCAAATCATCATTCCGGTAATAACATGAAAAATGGTACAACAAAGAAACAGAAATCGCAAAAATTCAAACCATCAAGTGTTTGGAAGCATTTTGTGCGCTTATCTGACGGTAATGTACGTTGCGTCCATTGCGCAAAAGTTTTAAAACGAAAAGATAGTTCAACGAAGACGATGTGGGGTCATTTACGAGCGATACATTTCAAGGGGCAAGATTGGACTGTTTTACAACAGCGTGCTCTACGAGATCGTAATCGACCTCAAACAAATCGAATAGATGTACCATCTCTGGATGAATTAAATTCAAGTGGAATTATTACAACTCAAAATTGGCTTGAGCAACGGGTCGGTATCCTGTGTGATAAACCACAGGAAGCTCAAACGCCAACCAGCGAAATGACTGGACAATTGGACGAATTATCAACGGATTGGGTTGGAATATTTGGTTTTTTCTTTAAAATTTATTACAACTTTAAATATAATTAATTCTCTATGAATCCTTTTGTTTTTTAATTATTATTTAAATTAAAAGAAATTTTTGGTAAACAAAAAGAAAGTGATGCAATTTGAAGAGTAATCGTTCGTCATCACTGGTTTCAAACAGCTGTACAACAAATTCAAAAAATATTGATCAAAATACAATTAATGATTGTACTTATAATGGTAATGGTTTAAATACGACATGTGCGCAATCATCAGATCGCAACACCGATGAGGTAATCTGTCTACACTAATTTTTCTCTTCCAACTCACATCTTTGAAATGTATATGTGTGATAGTGTTCCCTTTTTAAAATTTCATTTTTTAAGTTAAATTTTATAATAAAGTTTCGGAAGCTTGTGAATACAACGAGTAATGTTTTATTGTTAAAATTTAAACATTATCTTAAACGTATTTACATGTGTTGCAGAAATCACTTAACTTTTTATCATCTATACCACATACATCAGAAGTTATCAATATAACTGCTGGTTACAATGGAAGTACTGACAATCATTGTTCAGCACTTAGTGGAAGGTTAAAAGAAGAGGTTACGATTTTTTTTATTATAAATTAATTACTTTATAAGTGAGGTATGATAATTAGAGAGGTAAAGATGGGTAATGCGTTCTGATCTTTTGGTAGGATCAGAACTTTTAATAAGTGGCGTAAATAGTTCTTTTGATGATTTCATTAATAATTAACAATGATGTGTTTAGTTGACAGTATCAGACGGATCAATCTTAAAGTTAAGATTTGATAATGGTCTTAAAGGGAATGAATCTGAAAGATTATTTTAGATATTAGATTATTTTGGATAATAGAGTTATTTTAAGTAGAAGAAGCTATTTTGGGAGCGAAATAATTTATGCAACTAAGTTTCAGAATAGTAATGGTGGCTATAGCAGTGCTGATATATCTTCAGCAGCATTGAATGTTTCAAATTCTCTGATTTCACCTGCTCAAAATCATGTAAATGTTACTGATCAATCGATTTCGTCGATCAATTCAGCGTTATTACATATCTTTGATTCGTATGCTTTTTCTATACCACCACAATATTAAATTTGATCTTCATAAAATACGGAAATTTATTCAGAAATTCTGATCTATCACTTTTTGTAATTCCCTCTAATTTTTACTTATTTCGATTACTTACCTCAATTATAGTCTGTGATAGATATTAATGAATTGTAAGACATCGCGATCACATTCAAAATTCAGGTAGATTTCGATATTACAGATTAATTTCATTAGGTTGCAATCCTAGTAAAATATAATTTGAATTAAATTACAATGAGGCATGAGGAATTTGTAAACGAGCGATATAGCAAATGTGAAGTAGTATGAAAGAATTAGATTTTATAATAATAGGTGTAAATAAGAGTATATATTTGAATGTTGAATTAATTATTGTTTTATTTTTTGATGATCTTTTTTATTGAAAATTTAAGTTCATTATTTTGAGGCTTTAAATTCAAATAAAAATAATTTAAATTTAAAGTTTATTATCGATCAAAAAATTTTCTTAAATTTTTGGTAGCTTCATTAATTTCCTTAAATGAATAATCGATGAAACAAAATTAGCAATAAATATCTTTTTCCTGTTAACAATTGATATTCAGTATTTGATTATAAAATATTCACTTTTATAAATTGATTTTAATTTTATTAACTTACTATAAATTTTCAGATTTTCGATATTTGATCCTGATTCAATGGTAATATTTATGCGAGCGGCTACTGATTTAGATTGTACATTATCATTTCATTGTCGTAACAATCAACCTCAACTATCCTTCGAATCAAATCGTACTGCTGCAAACAAATTAAAGTATTATCTTTCCTTTTTTCTTTTCCGGTCATTATTTTGCAATGATTAGGGTTAATATCAGTTCAAGAAATTTTATTTATTTTAATATTAGAATTTTAATATGAGAAATTATATCAGGTTAATATTAAGTTAATAAACTGATAGAATAGAATTAAATGCGAGGAGGATTTTCTTGTTGTTGCAGTTCTGTTATTCGTTATTATTTCATATATGCATTCATTAAGAATACAGAAGAATATATTTTTTCAGAGGTGTGGAAGTATGCTTGACTGAAATGGACGATGAAGTGAATATTGTAGTGCAAAATGATGGAATAGAACTTGATAGAGAATCTTGGAAAAAAACGGATAAAGCACAGTTCATGTGGGCAATTCGTGGAAAATGTCAGAAAGTTCTGACTCAGTAAGCGTCTTATATAATATAATGATAATACAATAATAATAACATAATAATAATAAATAATAAATAAATAAATAATAAATAAAATAATAATAATAACACAATATAGTAATAATATAGAAATAATATAATATAATATAATTAATAATATAATTATGAAATATGATATATGATAAATTAAATAATGGAGTTGCTATGAATTGTGAAGTTTTCAATTGTTATGTCTTTTTAGCTAATTTTAAAATTTCATTTTTAGTAATTGAGCTGCAAAAATTCGATAAATTTCAAACAAAGGAAATACTGGTAATAATTTATAAGCAG